TCCTTTCTGATAAGCAAACCTGGGGTTCACACCTGGACCCATAACTTCCCAAAGCCCAGCCCAAGGGTCCCAGAAGCCAAATGGGGTCAAGGTGCAGCCAGAAACACCACTCCTCTCCTCTGCTGGAGGAGAAGGGATACTGTCAGAGGTGCACCTGGAACTTCAGATTTACAAAGATTGTTCATGTCAGGTAGGTTTAAATCAAAGAAGACTTCCAGGAAGTGGGACATCGTGGCCAGTTTCACAAAGATGTGAAACTCTTTGGGGCAGAAAGGAAGGAAAAGGGGCCCCAGAGCAAAGAAGAGAGCAGATCAAGGCTGGAGAAGTGGGTCTTCTGTGTGCATGGAGCTGGGGGCCAGGAATGGACACACACTGGGGGGGGGGGGGGGTCTTTCAGCCATCTGCAGGCTTCCGGTCCCAGGGCCCAGAATCCCAGAATCCAGATCCCCAGGGGGCTGCAGCAGCCCTCCTCACGAAGGCTACTCCACATTCCTCACATTCTTTATGCTCAATTAAGGAGAAATAATCAGGAGAGCCAGCAAGGCCGCAGTAGGAAGGCCATGCCCCATGCTCCCAGGATCACGTCTGTGGAAACAGCCCCTAGTACAGCCAAGTGAGAGCCGGGAAGGGACACATCAAGGACAAGGGTATCCCTCTGCTCTCCACAGAGGTCAAGGAGAGTTAAAGACAAGGGGTTCGGGAGTCAGGAAAGAAAAGGTTCTGAGAGGGCAAGTTCAGAGCTAAGGGAAGTGAGCAGCTGAAGATCTTAATTGTCCACTTCTTTTCCATGCTACTGCATCAATACAGTCACCGCTCACCACCATCCTCATGGCCCCTTAAGACCTTCCTGGAAGCTTAGCATGTTACTCCTGTTCCTTAGTGACTGTATGCCCTGAGGGTGTCATGGGAATAGTGCCTCCCTGGGTTTTCAGACACACAGTCCTTCGTCGGTAGGAGGATGTCATCCTCAGCCCCAGTGGAGGACGACTGTCGTCTTCTCCTCTTGGACCCAGTAGGCTTGGTCAGCCAAGCTAACTGCTGTTCCCTGGAGCCTCTCTCCAAGGCTACTGCCCCTCGAAGAAGCCCTCCCTGACATCCCAGCAGACCCAGTGTCTCTCCCTCAGTTCCTCCTCCAACTGCACGTGTAGCCAGTACAGCTCTTGTCATGCTGATCTATAATTTTAGGTGTGTATTTCTGTACCCCCGTCAGAATGAATAACTAAATGATCAATGTTATTTATTGAGCACGCTCTATGTCCCAGGCTCTGTGTTCACACTTGATAGATGACTTCATTTAATCCTTTTAACATCCTAGAGGTTGTTAGTATTATTATCCCCAATTTATTCACAAGGAAGTTGAGACTCAGAAAGATAAGCGACTGAGCCCAAAGTGACCCCGCTATCATAGTAAATCAAGGGAGGGGGACTCAAACACAGGATGTTAAAATGCCGAACTTGGGCCGGGGATTTAGCTCAGTGGTTCTGGCACCTGCCTCGCAAGCACAAGGTCCCGAGTTCCATCCCTGGTACCAAAAAAAAAACAAACCCAAATTTATGCAATTAATCCAACATTAACATGTTTGAGGACAGGATCTAGCTATATTTAGCCTTGCTTACCGCTACATGGCAAAGACTAGGTGCTTAGTATAGGCTGGATGAAAGATGGATGGATGGATGACTGAAGTGGACTCTGAAAAGTTTCAGTATGGAACTGAGGAAGGGGAAAAGCTCTCTTCCAAGTTCCTTAGAATCAAAGAGTCAAATGTATGGGATGATTATTAGACCAAAGACCCTTTCTATAATTTTTCTTGGGTGTTTGTTTGTGACTATGGTAGGACACATTCTGTAGCTACTTTGGAGTTTTGTGACTATATGGGGGCCTCAGCTTGTGGCCACTTTGGGATCTCAGTCTGTCTGTGGTCAGAAGCAGGAGTCAGTTTATAATCAGGGTGGGAATTAGTCTGGGCCCAGAAAAATCAGTCTGCAGCTGGTGTTAAGTGGGAGGAAGCTAACTTGCAGCTGAATAGAATACAGACAATTCTCAAGCTAGACTCCCTTGTTCCTGGGCACTTAAAGGTAGAAAGATGATACGTGGGAGTGCAGTTGCGTCTGTGGGAGAGCACAGGCCCGAGTGCCCTGGGAATGTGGGCAAGGGGCTGCACTCAGTAAGTGTGTGCCACGTGTGCCTTGTGTGTGCCATGTGTACGATGTGGCACATGTGTGTGCTGTGTGCTCTGTGTGCTGGGACAACGGGGCCAATGGGATGCGGGAGAGACGACCACACACCTGTAATAACATTGGCTTCAGACACTAGGAGAGAAGAAATTCCCCCAACTGTTTCATAGGAGCAGAAGTTACCAAATTACGTTGTTGTTTTAAATTTGAGCTTCTCTGCTTGCAAATGGGGGAATCTCAGGTTCAGGAGCTTAATGCTTGGCTGGGCCTGGAGCTCCACTTCCCGACCCAACCAGGGCTCCCAGAGCTCCCAGGCCTAAGGAACAAAAGTCTTCTCTCTCAGGGCTTTGAAGTGGAAACACTAACTGCTCCCTTTAATTAGAAAGAAACCCCCTATTGTTCTGCTTTATTACTGATGGATGAAGACATAGCAGGGGGGTAGATTCTGAAGAGCAGGGGTGCAGTGGAGGAGGCCAGGAGGGGCCAAGAAATCTGTTTAGAACAGAGAACCTCCACTCTCTGTCTCCTTGATGAACCAGACCTCTTTGTCCACCTAATCAACAAAGATTTTACTGGGCACCCAGCCTTTGCTTTGATTCCATAGGGGAGATAGAAGGTGGATCCCAGCCCGACAAGAGTTTATAATCCAGATAGGTAAGGGAGACAGGGTAGGATATGAGAAATAAAAGATATTGCTACTTAATCAGTCCTGTCCACATAAACCATGGGAATTTAGGCTGCAATGGGGAGATAGTCCCACAAGACAATCCCCCAACAAAATTCTGGGGCAATGGCTAGGAGAGCAGACAGACCAGGGGAGGGTATAAACAGCCCTGCAGAGCCACAGAAGTATAAGTGGGTCCGGCTCTCTGGAGGACGGTCAGAAAGGAAGCTGGCTGCAGGCAATGTGTGTTGGAAACTAGAGGAAGTGCAGTTGGAAAGCTCAAGTGGAGGGGCGGGGTAGGGCTTTGCTGCGCACACGTGCACACGAGGACAGTGGCCTTGATGGGATCGTTAGGAAGCTGATGGGCCCTGTGACCGAGGGACTGATCCCATACAGGGTGCCGCTGGGGAGATTAACCTGGCAGCCCTTGTGCACGAAGGCTTGGAGGGGAGGAAGAGCGGAGGGGGAGAGACCTGTTGGGGAGCTCCCACAGGAGCCTAGATAATGATGGCTTAGGCCAAGGTGACGGCGCTGAGACCAGGAAGAAAAGGTGAGTCCAGGATAGATTTCAAAGGAGGAAGCAAGACGTGTTGACAGAGTAGCTGTGAGGGGATAAAGGATGGGGAGAGTCAGAGATCTGTTGTCTGGGAAACTCGGAGGGTGCCAGAGCAGGGAAGGGAGTAGAAACTGCCCTCTAGGGTGAATGCGGGTGCTAGAGGTGCTAAATAAAGCCCCCCAAAGCCTCATTCCCCTTCCAGAGCCAAAAGAGGCCCTGATTCCAGGGCTGGGGAACAGCAATTCCAGGGTGAAGGTGCTGGGTTCCTAACTAAGACAGAGCACCTTAAATGAAAGCAACCATTGTACAGTTTTTCTTTCATACACTTCAAAGTGATTCACACCTGTGCCTCATTTGATCCTCAAAATAACCACAGCATGTGTCATTATCCCCACTTTGCAGATGAAAAACACTGAGACCCAGGGAGGTCAAACACTGTGCTCAGAGTCACAACTAGTTTAGGGCAGAGCTGGAAGCAGAAGTCTTCTAACTTGCAGCTCAGACCCCTCCCAGTGCCTGTTGCAGCCCAGAGAACAGGAGGGGCCAGAGCTCCAAGTCTCTGAGTCACTGGGGGCAAGAAGTCTGGGGCACAGCGAAAGGGTGCACCCCCAACTTCCACCACACCCTCATTCTGCTCTTCACACTCACACAGGGCGTAAGTCGGGAGCCCGGGGTTGGAAACGCCAAGTCTAATCAAACCTCACAAGCCCACAGATGGTTTGAATCAGCAAGCTACCTTGATAGGAATAATGAGGATCCTGAAGACAGTCTATGGCAGCTACATCTTCTGGACAGAGAACCGCATCTTCCAGGAAAGTCCCAAGTCTCCAAGCCTGGCAAACCTCTCTGAAGGAAACTCCTGACCCTGCATCACACCTGCTCTCTGGCGCTCCACCAGCAGGACTACTCACAGGTCTGCCAAAAGTCCCTGAGCTCAGGTTCCAATGTGACAAACCAAATTCTTAGCCCTTTCTTGAGACCTTGAAAGAATGAGTGACAAGGGACAAGCTGGGGCGGGCCCTGGCGGGTAGATGGACTGGGACACAGCCGAATGCAGACCAGACAAATGCTCCCCACCTGCTTCCTGGCAGATGAGTGTGCCCAGCGTCCGTCAGTTCTCTCAACATGACAAATGGCAGCATGACATTTCTTTTCATGGAACACCTAATCTAAGGGTGCCCACATCCCATAAAGCCTGGGTTTAACAAAGCTATCAGACCACAGAGTTCTAGGAACAGAACCAGACCTGATACTGGGAACCCCATCAGAGTCAGGCCCCAGAATAGTGGCCCTTACCTAGGGAAAGCTCAGGCCTGGGCTCGACAGCCCCAGGCACAGACCTTGGGGCAGGGGCCTGCTTTAATAAAAATTTGGCCCAAGGGCCGGGGATTTAGCTCAGTGGTTTCACCGCCTGCTGCGCAAGCACAAGGACCCAAGTTTGATCCCCAGTACCAAAAAATAAAATAAAATTAAATTAAAAAATAAAAAATAAAAATTTGGCCCTGCCCAACACCCTTGCCTAGCAAAGCTTGCTTTGAAGCTTAAAAAACAATGAAGTTAATTTTTAAAAACCTTTCATTGAGTTCCATGAGACCCCTATTAGTTTTATTGTTTCAATAAAGCATTTATTTAATTGTCTCCAGAAGGGCCCTGTTAAATGCACAGATGTTACCTGAGTCAGAAGGGAGGGACTGGGAGCTTTGTTTTCCACCCTTTCCTGTTAGCACATTAACAGGATTCTGTTATTGGATTAACTGATTGTCACCTTAAAAGTCACAGAGTAGAGCCCTGAGGGAATGAGGCGCAAGGCAGGGACCTCTGAGACTAAGAATCCTCTAAGGAGAAGGGCGTGTCACAGTTGCAGGAAGCAGGAAGCCTCGCTCGAATAAAGAGGCTGGATGTGGTTAAAACAGGAGAGGATTTTTTTTCTGCTGGTGAGGAAACACTTGTTATTTAGCCTCTGAGATGATTGATGTCCCTGAAAAACATCAGAAGATGAGCACATTACTAGTTGTATGGTGTCCAAACCCAAGGAGGGGAAGAGTTCAAATGACTTGCCAGAAAGATTTCTGGAACATCATGCTCAGTCCTTCCATAACCATTACCAATCATCACTACACCATACTAATGTATGCTGTCGCTGCCTGGAACTCGAAACATACAACAGTAAACAAAACAAAAAGTCTGCTTTCATGGTACTCACATTCTAATGAGGACAGGTTGGTGACAAGTAAAAATATGACAGACACAGAAAGATAATTTCAGAAAATGGTAAGTGATCCAAGGACATAAAACAGAGCGATGTGGCAGACAGTGGACAAAGCAGGGCTGTCTGAGGGTATGAGGAGAGTCTGAATACTGAGAAAGAGCCAGCCACAGGAAGTTCTGAAGCCTCAAAAGGGCTCTCCATGCAGAAGAAACAGCAGGTGCAAAGATGCTGGGACTCCATTTGAGATGAGCATTATCAGGCTGCTCACTAGTCAGAGGAGTGTGATGGACAAAGAAAGCCTGGAGTCTTCCTTCATTGAGAATATTTCAAGAAATGCCATGGGACAGAGATTCTATCATTCATCTTTGTGTTCTTAGGTATTTTCTTAGTGTCTGACAAAGCAGCTGATCAACAAATAGGATTAAATGTAAGGAAGGGACTGAAAGGGAGAGGAAAGGTGAACATACCAAGGGAATTTACATTGAGTCAGATTTTTTTTTTTTTGGTACCGGGGATCGAACTCCGGTCCTTGCGCTTACGCAGCAGGCGGCGAAACCACTAAGCTAAATCCCTGGCCCAAATCAGATTATTTTTTAATTCAATAAGCAATTAAAACAGAAAAAACAGAAAATAGTTCAGTCTCTACACTAGGTCATTTTTTTTACTAAGCTGGGAGGTGGGTCAGACAGAAGGGGACAGGACAGACAAGCTTTTGGATACATGGGAAAGCGTGCTCCCGCAGCAGCAGCTGAGCTTATTCTAAGATTGGTGAAGTGACTCCCCAGGCCGCCACAAGGACTAGGAAGTGCTTGTGCAAACAAGAATCCAAGAAGTAGGTTGCGACTGACTTTAAATGCCAGGCTGAATTACCCTCCAAATGATGAGGAATCATCAAAGATCTCAGGACAGGAAAATGATGTGTTGGAAGCAGTGTTCTTGGCAGATGGATCCGGTGCCCTGCATGCTTCGAGGTGGGAGGAGAACCCAGAGGTTCTGCTCAATCAACTGAGCAGATTCTGGAGGAAGAGACTGGGGGGATGGAGGGAGGAACAACTCCAAGAGACATTTTTTAAAAGCACAGGACTTGGATTTGAGTTTGGAAACATCAAAGAGACCCTGAGGTGTGCTTGCTTCCGCAGCACATATACTAAAGAGACGCTGAGGTGTCTAACTTTGGAGCCTGACTGTACAGCAATGACAGAAAGCAAGGAAAACTGGGGGGGAGGGTCTGGGGGGAATTTCCACTGGGTGGGTCACAGGGGTTACCACCTCCCACCTCAGATGGGGCTGGAGGGGCAGGCAAGGTGCCTCTCACATCTACCTATAGATAATCTCTTCTAATGGGGGATTTGGTATAATTTTTACTTCTTTTTTTGTGCTTTTTGGAATTTTTCGAATAATTATTTTAATTCCACACAGACTGCCAGTCTCATTAACCCATTGTAAGCCATCACTCCTGATTTATCTTCCCCCTCAACCCTCCCCAGAGAAGGAGAAGGAGGAAGAAATGATTATGGGCCTCTCCTGGGTCTCTGAGAAATACCTCCTAAGAGTTGAGTGTCTCCTCCTGAGTCTGTGGGTCTCCCAATTGGGGGTGGAGGGCACCTCCTTCCTTTTCTTCCCGCTGCCCCTGCTGCAGCCGGACCCACCTCTCCCCTTTAAAGAGTCAAACAAAAAATAAAAAAATAAATAAAGACTCAAACAACATCACACACTTACCCTCCAGCCAAGATTGCAGTGCCAGGCTTGGAAAGACCACCTGTAGGATTGCTGTAGCTGAAATCAGCCCAGCCCAGACCCTGAACCCTAGCTGTGCATCTAACACTTGACAGAACAGGAAAAAGCACACACTCTGCACTCAGAGACATCTGCGTCCATGCTCAGGCTCTGTCTCCTAAAAGCTGTCTTTGGGTACCTTACCAACTTCTCTCAGGTCAATTTACTCATCATGAAAATTGGAGATAATAATAGCATTTATCTCCCTCAGTTAAGGGGATTAAATGATAATGAACGGCTTTTAATAAGCGTGCTCTATCATTAGTATTAATAAGAACAATAAAATAATAAAGTTTTACAACTAAACTTTGTTGCCTGGAGGCAAGAATGACCTTAATGAACTTCCATCTTGGCTCCCATTAGGGTCGTGTAGTTTCCTCTCAGCCTTTTCCTTTTGACTAGAAGTTTCTTTTTCCCCCCAAATGAATGAAGAGCTGAGAAGAGACCTGGAATCTGGGCCTGAGTCACTGCTTCTTAGCTTCATGACAGTCTGTTTTGTCAGTAAGAAGTGATGTAGCAGTAAGCAGATTCCTGCAACTCAAGAGCCTGGGTTCCTTCACCTATAAAAACTGGGCATAATCACACTGACCTCACACTGTGTCAAGGGATCAGACTGCCTGGGGCACAGCCCACTCTGGGGACAGGACATCAGGTCCATCCCCATCAGCTTTCCAGCCAGACATCAACTCCTTCCCGCCTGTCCACCCCATCCCCACCTCCCAGACTGCCCACCTTCTCTTTGGCCCTAAGCCCTGATGGTTTGGGGTGAATCTTCCCAATTATGCCGTAAGCTCCAGTGAGAAGCAGGGCCAAGGCCTCACTATAAAAAGCAGCCTTGCTGGGGATTTAGTTCAGCAGCACAGCACCTGCCTGGCAAGAACAAGGCCCTGAGTTCGATTCCTGGTACCAGAAAATGAAAAGCAGCCTTCCTCAGGAGCCTGGGCCCACGTGGCCTCCTGGGGGAACTGGGGAAGAGAACTGTCCGCACTCACACTAGAGAGGTCCACAGCCAGAGCCACCAAGTCAGCAGCCCCTTCTCAAGTGGCCTTTCCTCTCCACTTCCTAAACTGCAGCTCTGAGGCTGCTCAAAAGGAACTGCTTCCTTCTCACTGACCACGGACTAGTAGAAAAGCTGTCCTGCCAACTCAGGGAATAGTCCATGGGTCAGAGAAGGTACGGCCTTCTCTTCCGACCCTCACCTGGTCCCTAGGGTCCTAGGCTGTCCCTGTGGACCAAGAGGAAGGCCACTGTTCTACCACCCCTGCTGCCAGAGGCCATTTCACACCCAATGACCCAAGGGCCCACTCCGCACCCCTGTACCTGCTGCGCCATGCTTCCAGGAAACAGAAGCCCTGGGCTTCAGCCCTTGCTGTTCTCTCTTTCCACTACCACGCCCCCCAAGGTCTGGGGTGAATCTCCAGGCTGTCTCCATTCAGGGAAGGGTCCAAAGCCCAAGGCAGCCCTCTCAGGTGGTGCCTCTGTAGGTACCTCTCAGCCTCACCCACCTGCCAGCCCCTGCCCCCAAAGCAAGCAGCGAAAGAGAGGGCGCCCATCTTAGAGGGCCAGCGGAGGGGCAGAAGCAAGGGGCGCAGAGCATCTCCCTGGGCAGAGGTGAGGCCGAGGAGGGAAGAAGCAGGAGAGAGCCCGCCTGGGAAGGGGGACCGAGGGGACCCACTGGGTCACAGGCTCAGGGGGCGAGGAGACAGAGTACAAGCCAAGCCAGGGAAGCTCTGGAAGCCCACAGAGTATTTGGTTTCTGGGTTCAGGAAGGGCGACAAGGGTCATGAAGCTGAAGCAGCTCATGTTCCCAGGCTGAGACCCACGGAGGGGAACTAAGCTCTTTTCCAGAGACGGTGGAAGGCTCTCTCCTGAGCTTTGGCTCTCTTTGTCTGACTACCTCTCTCGGAATTTGGGTGGGTTTTTTTTGAGGGGGGGGTTGTCTGTCTCCGTGTTCCTGCATCTTTGTCTACCTCTATTCTTGTTCTCTCTCCCTCTCCCTCTCCCACGCTCTTCCTCTGCCTCTTCCTCCCACCCCTCTGTCTCAGATAATTTCTTGGGGACTCTGCCTTGGGGCTCCCGCTCTCCATTGTAGGAAACCTGACCTTCATCATCTGTTTTTTATATTTTGGAATGGCAGCTTCCCTTCCTACCTGGGGAGGCGGAGCAGGCTGCCTGGCTCCACCCCTTCCCCTCAGTTCGGGAGTCAGGCCCCGCCCCCTCGCCTTGCCCGGGGGAAGACAGAGGGAGGCTCTGGCTCCCCGGTTTCTGGTCACTGCAGGAGGAGACGGAACCTAGGAGACGGAACCTAATTCATGGTCTTCCTTCCCTAGCTCACCACGGGGCAGTGGGGAGAGCGGACAGCTACCCGCCTCTGATCAATTGCTAGTTTACTGATTTGGGAAAAAGGAAAAATCCCAGGCCCAGAGGCAGCCCAGGAGGCTGAGAGGTTTCACCAATGGGAACCAGGATGGAAAGTGGTTAAAGTTATTTGTGCCTCTCGGCAGAGTTACACTCAACCAAGTTGTCTAACATGTTGTCACCGATGTTTATTTGTTTGATGATATTATTACTATTAACAGATTACAGGCACTGTACTGAGCGCTTATCCTACGTCAGGTTTTTTTCTTCCATTTCATCCACTCAACTTTATGTGGAAGGTATAGCAGGTACTATTATTATCCACCCACTCCCACCCCCAACCCCATCCCCACCACGTGCCTTTTTTTCTTTTTGGTACTGGGGATTGAGCCCAGGGCCTTCACACTGAGCTATATGCTATATCCTCAGCCCTTATTTATTTTAGACAGGACCTCTCTAATTTGCTAAGTTAACCAGGCTGGGCTCCAACTTGCCATCCTCCTGCGTCAGCCTTCCAGAGTACTGAGATTACAAGCATGTGTCACTGCACTCAGCTGTCTCCCATTTTCTAAATCAGAAACCTAACAGAGAAAGGTCGACTGACTCGCCCAAGGGAATCCAACTGAGACTGAATCTCTGATTCCAAGTACCAAGCTCTTTACACAAGTTTTCTAAGACCTGACAAATGTATTCTGTACATTTCCTAATGCCAAGAATACACCCTCTAGACCCCAGACCTGGGTACCCCAGTTAGAGAAGCATCATCTCTCACTACTTTCCAGGAGACCTTGAAGATGGAGCATAAAGGCTGGAAGAGGGCATTTCAAGAAGGAGAAACTGGAAGAGACAGCATTGATGGCAAAGGGTAAATAAAGGCAGCCGTCAGGAGTAGGAGAGGTGCCAGGCCAGGGAGTTTGACTTTCTCCGGGGGAATAATAAAGGGAGTAAAGGGCTGGGTAGAGGGCTAGGGTCAGCTCAGAGGCCTGAGGGCCCGTTCAGTTTATCCTCCAGGTTTTTGAGCAGGAAAGTAATACTCCAAAAGAGACCCAGGCTAGAAGAAAAAGGGTTTCAATACAGAAGACTGCCAGAAGGTTGACACTGTACTGTATTATAATCCAGGCGCTGGGACAACTTGACCACATGTGACAAGAAGGTACCTAGGAGATACTTCCAAAGAAAAGAGGCATTTTGGAGTCTGGGCCATCTGCCTCTTTCCCAGGCCTTGGTATCCAAGTCAGTGTTTTGGATGGGGTGGATGACACTGGAAAGATGGTGAAAGGAAGAAACATCCTGGGTCCAAAGCACTGAGTCTTATTGTACAAGCTCAAGACACTGGTCTGAGGGCTGCTGGGAGCCTTGGAGAAGAGGCCTGGACTGAAGGTGTTAGCACCACGGAAGATAGCACCACCGATCTGGAGCAGACTCTGGCCTGCAAGGTCTTAGTTGTAGACCCTGCCTGGCCTTTGGGTGGATGGACAGATGTACAATGGGAGTCTGCAGTGGCATAGCACAGCATTTCATGCCTTCCAATTCTTTGAAATGATTCTGCTCCTTGGGTGGCACCGAAAAAAAAAAAAAAAAGAAAAAAAGCAAACAAGCAAAATTTGGTTAAGAACTGCCGATTCAGAAACTCTGATCTGTTCACAAAGTTAAACCCCTTTGTTTCAGAAGCCAAAAACTTATTTCCATCTCAGATCTTATGTGCCGGTATGTCTCAAAGCGGGCAAGGGAGACAACAGCTGAAATGTCTTTGTTCTTGTGTGTGAGGCTCCTGCCCAGTGGGCTTCTGTGTGTGCATTGTGTATACTTTTGTGCCTGATTCTCGGGCCCTTATGTGCACTGAACTTTCAAACCATAACAGAAACATTGAAGTTTGGCAGAGATATCACAGGAATCATTACCTAATTTCAGAACATGTTATTATAATACCTACATGATGTGTAATGAACTTGACAATACTCACGTTCTATTCACCAGCTCTGAGCTGAGACTCACAATGCCAAGCCCTGCCCACAGAGACTTCTCCAAGACAGAAAAGCAGGGCAGGCCCTAAAGAAAGCTCCTCAAGGAGTCCCTCCACAGTGGCTTCCCGGTGCATTGAGATGTTTGGCCGAGAAGGTGCCAATATTTACAGAGAAATGGTTGGAAGGGGGACAGAGCCTGTCTCGGAATGGCAACTGCTCTTTCCAGAATCCCCGTTCCTTCCCAGTAGAGACCCTGGAACAGGCAAGGAAATGGCAGCCATATTGGGGTCACAGAGGCAGACAGGCTTCCACTGACTCAGCGGGGGCAGGGGGGCTCTGATCCATCCCACTACCCCTCTCTCTTGGGGGGCAGAGGGGCTGAATTGGACAGGAGCTGAGTGTGAGGGGAATGTTTGCTGTTTGCTGCTGTTCCCTGTTGACTTTAGCCAGTAGCTCTGTTTACAAACCCAGGTTGGTTTTCCCAGCAGAGTTAATTAGACCAAAGACATCTGGTGTGAGGGCTGGGGAGGGCATCTGCTCAGAGCCACACACACACACACACACACACACACACACACACACACACACACACACTCAGCCAAGGGCCAGCACAGGGCAGAGAAGCTAAACAGGAACAGATCGGACTCTGGACTCCACCAAGCCCAAAGCTCTCAAGGGAATCAGGGCTTCCTGCACCCTGCCTTTCCAGTGACTGCTAAGCTAGCCTGGGCCACCAATCGCTGCCTCCGAGACGACCAAGAAGCCAGGGCTGGAAGGGCAACCTTAGTGGGATCACAGGCTGGTGATCAAGGACTTGGCCCTCTCGCCCCGCTTCCGTGTCCAAAAGAACTGGGCAGAAATTTCTGTCTCCTTTCTAACCACAGAGGTCCTGAATTTCGTAGGAATGGCAGAGCTCTTCGGGGAAAATCCTCTCTCTCTGGGCACCCTCCCGAGCCTTTCCCTGACGCTACAGGGAGGAGAGACTGACCTGGGAAGCGGGAGAAAGGAGGGTGCCAGAGCGGTAAGGGAACGGAGTCGGGGCGGTGGGGAAGCGGAGACCGGTGAGGGGGAGGGGCAGCGACTTATCTCTCCCAGGAGGGGGGAGCTCACTCCAAACAGCTAAAGCACTGACGTGTGAAAGCCCCTCAATTAGCACTAATGATGCAATCAGGGAGGGCAGAGGAGGGACCCGCCGTTCTGGTGGAGTCCGCGCCAACTTGCACACACGGTACACACTCCCTTCCTGGGACACGGCGGCCCCTTCGGACACATCGATGCACACACCCACACAAAGGTGTGCGTGGGCACAAATGCACGCTGCATATGGTTGGTGATCCGTGGCGGAGTCCGCAGACCTGGGGCATCTGTGGGAAGGAGGGTGTCACCCCGGCTGGATTCTGAGGTCACAGGACAAGGAAAATCAGAAGTCACAAAAGTGTTGGTAGAAGGCAGAGTTGCAAGGCGTCTCCAAAACCTCAGGATTATCCCTCTGAGCCCACAGTTCCCGTCCCACGCGCGCTCGCAGGTGCCACGCCCGCCACCCCTTCACCCCAACGCAGAACCGCGGGCTGGACAAGGAGCCGCCACCCCAGCCCCACCCGCGAGAGGCGGGACCCACGCGCCTTGCCCGCGGCCCGGTCCCCGCGAGGGAGCTCTGGGATCGCGGCGATCTCCGCCGGGCCTCCGCCGCCCGTCCCCTCCGGAGCCCGGAGCCCGTTACCCGCCGGCCTCGCCCCGCTCTCCCTACCCTGCCGGCCAGCTCCGCCAGCGGCCTCGGTCCGTTATCCGGCCGCTGGGGACCCGCTCTCCGCCCTCGCGCGCGCCGCCGCCCCCTCCCCCGTTCCCCGGCCCGAGCTCGGGGGCCGCGGGCCGGGCTGGGCCGGGGCCGCCTCAGCGCGCTTCCCAGGCCGGGCCGGCGGCGGGGGAGGTCCCGCTGTCAGTCAGCGAGGAAGGCCGGGCCGGCGGCCGGAGGGGGCGGGGCCGGGGCCGGGGCCGCGCGGGTGGGGCGGGG